GGGGTCCGGGGGGCCGCGCCACCCCTGCTGCTCTCCGGCGCCGGGGTGGGACCCGAGCCTGTGCGCTGAGCGACACCTTTTAAACTTTTGATTTACTCTAATTTATGTATCTTTTGAGTCTGGGTCTCACCGCATAGTTCAGCCTGGCCTCGAACTCACTATGGAACCCAGGCTGGCCTCAAACTCTCGGAGACCCTCCTGCCTCGGCTTCCTGAGTGCTGGGATCACAGGCGTATGCCACCACGCCGGGCTAGTTTTCATTGGTTTGTTTGTTTGTTTGTTTATTGGTACTGCCAATGGCACTCAGGGCCACCACTTATCAGGTAAGCACTTTGCTGCCGAGCTCCATTCCTGGCTTTTAACTTTTTTTTTTTTTTTTTTGAGATGGTCTCCCTAGGTTGTCGGGCTGGATTCCAACCGCAGACCTTCCTGCCCCAGCTTCCTGTCCTGTCCTGCAGTCTGCTCCATATCTGCCTCCTGCCCGCGAGGTGCCCAGGTTCCCCACAAGGCATGGGTGTCAGAGCTCAGCCTACTTCGCTCCGGCAGAGGGTACAGCCAGGCTTTCCCTGGTCCCCACTCCTCCTGGCTCCGAGCTCCCGTGGCCTGCAGCAGCCTCACCTGCCATGTCCTTGGCCTGACCCCCGCTGGGACACATGCAGCTGCTCTGTTTGCTTTTTTTTTTTTTTTTTTGTACTGGGACTGAACTCAGAACCTCTCACTTGCCAGGCAGGTGCTACTTCTGAGCCACGTCCCCAGCCCCATTTTTGTTTGTTTTTGAGACCGGGTTGCACCACATAGCCCAGGCTGGTCTGGAACTCTCAGGGATCCTCCTGCCTCAGCCTCCCAAGTGCTGGGATTACAGGCGTGCGCCACCATGCGGAGCTGTTTTGTTTCAGTGAAGGCCCCAGGGACAGGGTACCGTTTCCACGGGAGAAGGGTGCAGTGGGAGGCCCTGGGCTGGAAACCATGCCTGGGACTGGACCAGACTGGATTTGCACTGGCTGCTGTTAGATCCTACGGCCCCTCTCTGCTTTTCCCCTGTGACAGGGATGGAATCCAGGGCCACCACCCTGAGCCACACCGCTGGCCCTTTCTCTTTTATGTTGAGTCAGGGTCTTGCTGGGTTGCACAGTTGCCCAGACTGGTTCAAACTTGAGATCCTCCCACCTCAGCCTCCCAGGGTGCTGGAATCACAGGTGTGTGCTCTTCCTTGCGTTGTCGCAGCCCCTCGTCCCCTCCTCCCCAAAAGCACAGACCCTCGCTGGCCAGGGTAGAGCCCAGGCTGCGGTGATGGCCTCATCTGTCTACCCTGGCCTCACTGCCCCCTGGTTCCGGTACAGCTGCATCTGGGTCTCGAGCAACGCAGACCGGGTGGCACCACGTGGTGGTGACAGGCGCAACTGGGGTGCACCGTGCTCTACAGATCTCTTTCCTGGCATGGACGTGCGCGCACACGTGTGAGGGGGCAGGACACCGAGGGACAGCAGGGTGCGGTGATACACACCAGTGGGCCCAGCACTCGGGAGGCTGAGGCAGGAGGATCCCTGGGAGATCGAGGCTAACCTGGGCTATGTGGTGAGACCCTGTCTCAAAACGCAAATTCAGATGGAAGAGGTGTTTGTCACCTACTGGCTTGGCAGAAGCCCAGAGGTTTTATAACCCTGTGGGAGAGACAGAAACAACCAGCCTGGTACACAGGTGTGAATGGAAATTTAGTTTCTTCTTTCTTAGTCGTTTCCTTTTTTCAGTATAATTTTTCGAAGTCCTGGGGATGGAGCTGTACCCTGAGCTCTGCCCTCACCACCCCTACTCTGAGCAGGAGTCTTGCTACGCTGCCCAGACTGGCTTTGACATTGCAACCCTCCTGCCTCAGCCTCCTGAGTGGCCAGATTACAGATGTGTGCCAGCACACCTGTTCTGTAAATAGATTTTAATCTCTGTATTGGGAGTTTACAAAAACGTGATGATTCCTCCGCCACTGAACCGTACCCCAGGCCAGCACTGCTTTGTGCTTCTCGTTTCTCCCGGCACACTGGGGCCCGAACGCTTCCCACTTGGCTTGGTCCCAGCCTCTTGCATTTTCCAATTTTAAGAGCACCTCATTCATTCATTCACTTGCCTGGGCTGGGCTTGAACTTGTGATCCTCCTGCCTCAGCTTCCCGGAGTGCTGGGATCCCCGGTGAATTTCCTATCAGAAAATTTCAAACAGGAGACTCAGACTCCCAGAGTGAAAACCAGAATGCAGCTCAAAAGGCCGGGGCGGATGAAAGCCGCCTCGCTGGGGTGGGTTCTCCAGGCCACGCCCACGTCTCAGGTACACTCACCTGAGCCAGGGCCTCTGCTTCCCTTCTTCAAGGGGCTCCTCGGCGCCTCCGGGAGGGAGGCCGACCTCTGGGACAGCTGCTTTCCCTGTGATTCTATTTGTGCCCTTCCCATTTGCAAAAAGTCTGTCTCCCCACTTTCTCTTGTCTTTCTTTTTGCTCTTTATTTATACTTTGCGTTTCTCATATGAGAGAAGCCATGTTACATGGAATCTGTGTGCCTGCTCCATGGGACGCTATGCTCTCAAGATGCCTGGATTTTCCTCCGTGACTCCAGTGCATCCTTCTTCACGACAGCGTAGTACTCCCTTGTGCGTAAAGACCACGTTTTCTCTGTCCATTCATCTGCTGAGGGACACACGGGTCACTTCCAAGATTCAGCTCCAGTGAGTCGCGCTGCGGTAAAGACGAGTTGGCTTTGATCGCTGTGATCCGATGTCTTTAACTCTTGAGGAGATTCCTGGAAGCGAACGGCTGGGTCAGGTGCGACTCCCAGTGCCGGCGTCTTTACGTCTGTGACTTTTTACTGCTTAGTGAATGAGGTAGAAGAGATGCGAGCAGGCCTTTAATTCAGAAATGAAGCTGAAAATCAGGAAAGTCAACATTTTAATTCTCATTTAGTTAATGATCACGGAATTTAATTCCTATCCGCAGGTATATGAACAAAACACGGTTTGGAAGCTTTTTTTTTTTTTTTTTTTTTTTTTTTTTTTTTTTTTTTTTTTTTTTTGAGGGGTGGTACCGGGGGTTGAATTCGCACTGAGCTACGTCCCCTGCTCGTTTTATTTACTTTTTCCGTTTTGAGACGGGATGTCACTAATCGCAGGCGGGTCTCAAACTGGCAGTCTTCCTGCCTCAGCCTCCAGAGTGCTGGGGCCACCACCAGGGTCCTGCTTTGCTTGTGGCTTTCTACTTTAACAGTCCACTGACGACCCATCGATCCCGAGAGAGCTGTAATTTCTAAGAAAGTTTAGCTGAATGTCTGAGAAAGAGACCAGCCGCGTCTACTGGCGGATGTGATGAGTGTAAAGATTTAAGAAAACCGCGGGGCGTGGGGGCGGCATCTGGATCGGGCATCGGGGAGGCTGAGGCAGGCGGACTGCAGGAGTTCCGCCCAGCAGGGCTACAGAGCCAGACCGGCTCACAAAACACACAGGAAGTAAGGAAACCGGTTTTAAAAACAGAAGGATTCTGCACTGAACTTGCTTTAAAAGCGGCTTTAAAGCCTCCCTCGCTTCAGGGAAAGCGAAAGTGAAAGAGAGCGGCTTCAGGGAGGGGCTGCGAGGGGGGGACGGGCGGCTGGGAGGGAGGGCGATTTGGTGCCTGGAGGCTGAGGCCCCTGGGTGAGCAGGGGAAGGGCTGGGTCCGGGTCTCTAGAAACCGCCCATTCCGACTCCTGAGGGACCCTGGTCTCTAACACGATGTCACCTGGAAGTGGATGCAGGCTGTGATCAGGAGGCTGAGGCGGGAGGATCCAAGTCAGTCTGAGGCCAGTGTGCGCTACCTAGTGGATTGTGGGGCTCCCAGCGGCTGCACCCTAGCGACCTGTGGGGCCGGGCAGGTTACTTTTCTAGGCCGTCGTTGTGTTTTAGGACACCGTGAGGCCTCACTAGTGTGTGCCCAGCAGGACAGAGTGCTGAAGACATGTTTGTTTCTACTTTCTTTTTTTCATTTTTATTTTTTGGTAGTACTGGGGGTTGAACCCAGGGATCTACATCTCGGCCTCTTGTTTTTTTAATTTTGTGACAGGATCCGGCTAAGTTGCTCAGGCTGGGCTGGAACTTGAGATCCTCCTGCCTCAGCCTCCCAAGTGCTGGGATGACAGGTGTTTGTCTCCATGCCGGGCCTGAATTCTTTCCTAGTAATTGGGACTTTTCTCTCTCTCTCAGCGATACAGGAACAACCCCTCCAGAGAGTGGTATCTTTGGACTCATGATGAACTTCTCCGCATTTCTTGGTGAGTACATTTTTATGGCTAAAAGCTTGTCACTCAAGTGAAGTGAAGTACAGTATTTACCATTCCTGTGTTTCTCTTGCGGTCCCTGGGACGGATCTCCAGACAGGTGCTCTGCCAGAGCACTGCCGGGCCCTTCTGTTCATTTTTTCTTTAAGTGTCGGCACAGGGTTCCCTGCAGTTGGCCTGGAACTTGCAATGCCCCTGCCTCAGCCTCCTGTACAGCTGAGACTACAGGCGAGTGCTCCCGTGCCTAGCTCTTTTTTTTTTTTTTTTTTAAATAACCTTTGCAACTAGGAATTTGCCAGCCTTGGAAAGCTAAAGTACACAGACGTCTGGGATGGCTTGTGGCCCCCTTAGTCAGTGTCCCCGTTCACTGGTCGCCGGGTCCTCCGCATGGCCCTCTCTCCACCGCCGTGGCCGTCTGACCTGGGATCTTGGTGTTTTATACGTACTTTTTTTTTTTTAAGAGAGAAGAAAGCTGTTAGAGCTGTACAGAGTGCACTCGGAGAATCTCAGGCCCTAGAGAAAGGAGGCACCACCACAGGTGTTCCTGACCCTAACTCTTCAAGGAGTTCATTTTTGGGTTGTTTTTGTTTGTATTTTGAGTCAGGGTCTTGTATGGAGCCCAGGCTGGCTTTGAACTTGTGGCGATCCTCCTGCCTCAGCCTCCCAAGTGCTGGGATTACAGGCCTGCGCCACCAGGCCCAATTTGACCCCCCTCCAAAAGGGATTCAACCCAAGGCCTCTGCAGTGAGCTTCAGCTGCAGCATTTTTATTCTTTTTATTTTGAGCTAGGGTCTCACTAAGTTGCTAAAATGCTCAGGCTGTGCTCTATATTGGGATCCTCCTGCCTCAGCCTCTCAGAGTGCTGGAATAACACGTGTACACCAACCTCTGCTATCATTTGGGTTTTTGTTTTTTTTTGGAACCACGGATTAAACTCAGAACCTTGCACTTGGCGAGGCAGGTGCAGTGCCACTGAGCTAAATCCCCGGCCCTATAATTTTGGATTTTTGAGACAGGGTCTTGCCACATAGTTCCGGCTGGCCTTGAATTTACTGTGTAGCCGGGTGGCCTGGAGCTTGCAGAGATCCTCCTGCCTCAGCTTCCTGAGTGTTGGGATGACAGTACCTGTTCCCTGCTTTCTTTCGGTGCTGGGGTGGGAGCCGGGACTGGTGCAATGGGCACCTACCGGGCAGTGCCCGTGTGACCCTGAGCTCGTGTTTCCCTTGCAGGCGCGGCCACAATGTACACGCGCTACAAGATTGTGGAGAAGCAGGACCCTGCCGGCCACCTCGGGACGCCCCTGCTCAACGCGGTGTCACTGGGGCTGGGCCTGGCGGGCTGCGTCGGGATGGGCATTGTGGCCAACTTCCAGGTGCACTGGGCCGGGCTGGGTGGGGACAGGAGCCAGGCACAGGCTCGGGAGCGACTCCCTTCACACTCAGAGACTGGCTTCCTTCCTTTCCTGTTTTTTTGGACAGGGTCTCGCTAAGTTGCCCAGGGTGGCCTTGAACTCATGATCCTCCTGCCTCAGCTTCCCAAGTGCCACCACACCTGGCCAGTGCAGTTTTTCTGGGTGGCAAAGGAGTGCATGAAAACGTCCCATGTGGTGACCCCCAGTGGTGTAAGGAGCCTGGACGACAGCCACAGGCCCTGCTCGGTGGCAGAGAACCCGGGCAGAGGTGGCACAGTTGCCCCGAGCTTGGGGGTAGGAGCCGTGGCAGCAGAGCAGATCCTGCAGACACTCGGGTGGACACCGGGTCATCTACACAGCCTGCGGCTCCGCCACTGGAGAGCGAGACGAAAAGAGGCAGGAGAGGCGAGGCTCGCCTGGAATCCCGGCTCTGGGAGGCTGAGGCAGGAGGAGCCCACATTCCTCCAGCCGGGGCAACAGTGACTTAGCGAGACCCTGTCTGAAAATAAAAAGGACTGGGGATGCAGCTCTGGGTGAAGGCCCTGGGTTCGACCCCCAGTCCGGCCAAAAGGAAAGTTTCCTCTTTCGGTTGGTGTCTGACCACGGCGAAGCTCTTCATTTGTCATTTTGTCCGTGACGCAAGTCACGCTGGGCAGGGGACACTTACATCTGCTGCTTTTCATTTCTTTCCCCCACGACTTCCGGGCCGATAGCCCAGCATTTCATGCACCCGTGCCTGTTGTTGAGCTCTTAGAAGGTTGGGCTCTGGCTGGGGATTTAGCTCAAGTTGAACAGCGCCTGCCTCACAAACAAAAGGTCCTGAGTTTAATCTCCAGTGCCACACACGCGCGCGAAAGAAGGGAAGAAAGTTGGGCTCTGAGGGTGGGCGGGGCGGAGGCCCTGAGGAAGGAAAGGCTTCCGGGCAGTCCCTGGTGGAGCCGTCTGTCTGAAAGTTCCCACTCTGCTGGGAAGATCTGCGAGTGTTAAATGGAAAGCCCTCATCTTGCCTCACAGGATGGTTATAGCATCTTCATATTTCAGTATCTGGTGGTCCCTGTGGTTTCTGCAGAACTTTGTAGAGAGCATTTTCTCCCCTTGTGCTTTAGGATTTTTTTTTTTTTTTCCTCTTCTACGTGCTCACGGCGCTTGGAAGAACTGACTGCTGGCCTTTTTTTTTTTTTTTTTTTTTTTTTTTTTTTGTTTTTTTTTTTTTTTTTTTTTTGCTTTCGAGACAGGGTCTCACTGTGCAGATAGACTTCAGCTAACTCACATTCGAGGCGATCCTCCTGCCTCAGCCTCCCAAATGCTGGGATTATAGGTGTGCACCACTGTGCCCGGCTCCTGATGCTTTGAATATAGTTGTTTGGTTTTGTCGTCTAGGTTGACCTTGAATTCATTGTTGTAGCTAAGGCTGGCCTTGAACTTGTAGCAATCCTCCTGCCTCAGCCTCCCAAGTGCTGGGGTGAAAGGTGTATGCCACCATACAGGCCTTGAATATAGTTTAGAAAGGAGCTTGACTTTTATTTCCTCATTTTTCCATAAGATTTTTATCATTAAAATCATGTTCCTCTTTATATAACTTTTAACAGTTGAGTTTATCTGTTTAAAATATAAATCTACTAAAGTTAATTAAAGTAAACTCTTCAGAAGTGTATTATTTATAACCAAGGTAATATAAATTGAATAACTGCATGCCATTCACTGTAAAAACAAAAGAATTAACCTTTTTTGAAATTGTGTCCCTTGAGGCCAGATAGGATATTATGTTCACGAAAATAAACCAGACACGCAGAGGAGACAGCACAAGGCCACACACAGTCTGTGAGATCTGAGAGTCAGGGGGAAGTGGTCTAGTGGGGAGGTGAGCACAGGGACAGGCAGGGTTTCAGACGGGACGGGACTACCCAGACCACGGCTGCAGGGCGTGCTGCACAAGTCAGGATTACTGAAACAGCGCCGGGCCAGGTGGCGCACAGCTGGGATCCAAGCACGCAGGAGGCTGAGGCAGGAGGATCTCCATGACTTGAAGGCTACCTGGGCTGCAGAATGAGGCCTGATCTCAAAAAAAAAAAAAAAGAATTCTACACAGATTTTAAGTGTTCTGACCACAAAAAATAGTAAGCAGATGAAATTTGAAATTGTGAGTTTCCTCAGCTTGATCTAATCCTCTCCCCACGGAAACATAGCTCAAAATGTAGCCAAAATCTCACGTACGTGTGATGATTTGCTAGTGAAAAATAAAATTTTTAAAAGATGAATATCTTTATGAAAAAAGATTTTCTAGGTTTAGCCTTGCAGGAATCTAGTATCCTTTACGTTTTACTGTCTTCTAAATTACAAGAAAGTTTTTATTAAGTTAATTAATTAATGTTTTTGGTACTGGGGATCGAACTCAGGACCTTGTGCTTGCGAGTCAGGTGTGGTGCCACTGACTAAGTCCCAGCCCTATTTTATTTCATTTTGGAGACCGGGCCTCGCTGTGTACTCCAGGCTGGCCTTGAACTCACCATGCAGCCCAGGCTGGTCTTGAGCTCTTGGTAACCCTCCTGCCTCAGCCTCCCGAGTTTTGCAGGTGACGTCTGTGATTGGTCCTCAGGAGCTGGCGGTGCCCGTGGTCCACGACGGGGGCGCCCTGTTGGCCTTCGTGTGCGGCGTGGTGTACACGCTCCTGCAGACCGCGCTGTCCTACAAGTGCTGCCCACAGTGGAACAGCCGCGCCACCTGCCACGCACGCATGGCCATCTCCGCCGTGTCCTGCGCCGCTGTGGTCCCCAGTACCCTTTGTCGTTGCTCCCCGTGTTCGAGAGGGAGGGAGGCGTGGCCGGGACCAGGATTGGAGGTGAGGATTTGTCCTGGGGAGCAGCAGGGACAGGCGGTGTCCCAGAAGAGAAGGCGGAGCAGGGCCGAGGGCCAGGAGGAACTGCGCGGGCGCGGTGAGCAGAGGGGCAAGGGCAGGGCTCACTATGCGGCCCAGGCTGGCTCTGAATTCTGGGAGATCCTCCTGCCTCAGCCTCTGAAGCACTGGGACCACCGGTGGGTGCCACCACTCCCAGCTTCTTTGTCTCCTCCTCCTTTCTTTTCTCCTTATTTCCTGGCTCTGGTGATCAAACCAGGGTGTTCATTTATACCACTGAGCTACATCCCAGTCCCTTTTCAATTTTATTTGGAGACAGAGCTGACCTCAAATTTGTGATGCTCCTGCCTCAGCCTCCTGAGTAGCCGGGATGACGGGCACATGCCACCACAGCAGGCGGACAGCAGCGGCGTTTGCAGAGCCGCGGGACTCATTCGGACGAAGGGAAGGAGGGCAGATGTAGGGCCCTTGAGCTCAGTTGGCTCCCAGCCAGCCCTGCGCTGTGGCAATATTTAATTTTCTTTGCAGTGCTTGACGAAAGACACCAAATATTGATAGTGCACTCAGGCTGCAGGCCTGGACGTCCTGACCCGGGTCCCCTCTGGGAGCGGCGGCCCGTGTGGCCCCAGGAAGGGGTCCGAGAGCCAGGGCTCGGACCCACTCAGCGGTGCTCGGCCCTCAGTGGCGAAGGCGCCTCAGCTAGTCATGCGCCCGCGTAGGAAAAGCACTGACTGGGGAAACGAAACAGCAGCACTCGGAGAAAGTGCGGCTCCTGAAACAATGACAAATGCGCACCACCTGGGGAAGTGGCTCGTTTCTGAAACTCGTTTGTTTCTGAGACAGCCAAGTAGGCCAGGCTGCCTTGAGTTCACAACCCTCCTGCCTCAGCCTCCCAAGTGCTGGCATTACAGGCGTGCAGCACTACACCCAGCTCAGGGAGGGGTTTGATGAGTGGCTCTTTGTTAGCCAAACCCCTGTCTGCTGTCTGCGTCTCTCTTTGTCTCTCTCTCTCTCTCTCTCTCTCTCTCTTCCAATCTCAGGGAAGAGAATTGTTAATTACAAATTTTCTAAGCACAGAGAAACTAAAAGTACTGAGAAATTTACCAACAGAGTTCACACCCTGTTCCTAAGACAAACGTTCCCCTCTCCATCTCCTTGTCCTGTTTATGAGCTGAGAGAGGCTTTCTTCCGAGTGCTTTGGGAGGCTGAGGCAGGAGGATCACAGGTTTGAACCCAGCCTGGCAATTTAGTGAGACCCTGTCTCAAAATTGAAAAATAAATAAGAAGGGACTGGGGATGTAGCTCAGCACAAAGACCCTTTCCTCTCATGTACTCTTAGAAACAGCCCTACGTATCAGCAGAGCAAGTGTCTCAGGCCCCAGGCTGCCCGTCCCCCTGCCCGGCGCTTCTGTGCTGGGAGGCGGTGCCCAACGTGAGGCCTCCCTTGGCCACAGCGAGCCGGGGACTGGTTGGCGTGAAGTCTCTTGTTTTAAGCTCAGCATCTCCTTGAAAAGGACTCGGCACATTTCCCAGACGCCTTCATTCCCTTTCTGCACAGTGGGCTTGCTTGGTTTTGCTTTGCTTTGCTTTGCCTTGTGAGACAGGGTCCTCTGCAGCTCCGGCTGGCCTCAAACTCACAGTGATTCCCTGCCTCAGCCTCCGAGGACTGGGATTACAGACCTGCAGCACCACGCCACTCCGATCTGTTTATTTAATAAGTTGTTGGCTGGGCCAGGGATGTAGTTCGTGGCACTGCACCTGCCTGGCAAGCGCAAGGTCCTGAGTTGGATCCCCGGTACCAAAAAAAAAAAGAATCTGTGGTGACGGAGAAGCTGCTGGGCCACATTCTCAGCCCTTTTCATTTTATTTTCTTATTTCAAAATAAGGTCTTGAGAGACTGTGCAGGCTGGCCTTGACCTTGGGAACCTCCTGTCTCAGCCTCCTGAGGCTCCAGAACTACAGGTGTTGGTCACCATGGGCGGTGCCCTGAGGGTGGAACTAAACTTTAAGCTGTTACAGTCAGGTCTTCTGTTTTCTTTTTTGACTTTGAGAAATGGGGGTGAAAGCCTAGGGGGCCAAGGGGGACCCAGCTCAGAGAGGCACAGGCTCTGCGCGGCCCAGCACTGCGGATCGCTGATCTATCGTCTGTCTTCCTTCCTCTACCTCTCCTTCTTTCCTGCAAGGACTCACTGTGTGGGTCAAGCTGGCTTTGAATTCAGGATCCTCCTGCCTCAGCCTCCTGAGGGCTGGGATTCAGCCGTGCACCGGCACGCCCGGGTTTGAATTACTGATTTTTGGGAGACCTGAGAGCTTCGTTTCTCCCAGCAGGGTTAGTCATTCTGGACGTGGGCCTCCGGCTTTGAGTCACTGGGCTGAAAGTCGGTTCTGAAGGCCTTGCGGGTCCTGCCGCATCTCTGTGGGAGTCGCTCTCCGAGCACAGCTTTAGCACTTAGGCCACTTTACTCAGTGGCTCGCGTTCAGAGAGAACCCATCCCCGGTCTACGCCTCTCTGAGTGGGGTCCCCACGGCCTCCCCAGCTGGGTCAGGCAGGATGCGGTGCGTCCCTGGACGGGCGAGTGTGGGGTGACTGCTGCTGGGTGTGGGTCAGCGCCCTCTGCACACGATTCCGATGATCAGAGTGAATGCAGCTGCTCTGGTGACAGAAACGTTGTTAGCATCTTAACGCTGCATCCGGGCGTGGCGGTGCCCGCATTCATCTCAGAGCCTGGGAGGCTGAGGCAGGAGAGTCTCAGTTAGAGACCAGCCTGGGCTGCCAATAGCCATCCTGTCCAAACAGGAAAAAACAATGCAAAGCATTTAGCACTGTTTTCTGCTGTCCTTTCCTTAACGGTTTCCTCTCTCAGTGATCACCTGTGCATCCCTGATTTCCATAACCAAGCTGGAATGGAGCCCGAAGGAGAAGGTGACGCTGCCGGGCCCAGTGTCAGGGCTGAAGCCGGGCGGGTGCATCGGGAGGGGAGGGGAGGGGGAGGGGGAGGTGAGGGGAGAGGGGGAGGGGCCGTCGCGAGGGCGCAGAATCAGGACCAGGACAGTCGCAGGGTAGATGAGCCCTGCTCGGAGGAAAAGCGGCCAGGCCGCGACCTCCCTTACTCTCCAGGTGAGAGACGCAGCGCCACCACCCCTGAGAGCGACTCCTGCCCCAGCTGCCCTGGCCACAGGCTTGGTCATAGCTGTGCCCAACCCAGCAGCCAGCCCAGGTGCTGATTCCCCAGGTCTCAGTCCCTCATTTCAGTCTCAAACACCTCGGCCCTCTGCTCCTAAGAGGATGGACCTGGTCTTAGTGCTTGAGGCCGTCTCTCGAAGTCACTAGGGTGTCCAGGAAGGGGCTAGAATCCAAGATCCTCCTGCCTCAGCCTCCCAGAGCTCCAGGATGACAGGCAATGCCCATCAAGGTGTTTATCTTGGCTAAACCGGAGAATTTATTCCCAGGACAGCAGATGAGAAGCCTCGAACTGGACCAAGGGCTTCCTAGGTGGACGCAGAGGTGGGGGAGGTGGGAGAAGGGTGGGCGACCCCAGGAGGGAAGAGGAAGATGGACAGCAGGAAGCTCCCCGGTCCAGGCAGCGGTGTCCCCGCCAGGGCCACAGAAGGGCGGAGCTGGGGCTGGAGGGGAGCGGCGGGGCCTCGGGTCCTGGATTCTCCGAGGCTGACAGCCAGCTCTGTCCTGCCAAGTGCGGCACTTTAAAGCCAGGCGTCGGGGAGGGGGGGATGCACACACCTGTCATCCCAGCACAGGAGGCTGAGGCAGGAGGATCGCTGTGAGTTCGAGGCCAGACCAGAAATTGGTCTGACGTGCTGCACCCCGAGTGTGGGGGTGGGGGATCCCCCGAAGGAGAGAAGCACCTGGGGAGCTGCCCAGGCTTGCTCACGCATTGTTCTCTCATCCGAGGCAGGGTCTCACTGCGCAGCCCAGGCTGGCCTCGAACTTGCTTTGATCCTCCTGCCTCAGCTTCCTGAGTGCCGTGCTCACAAGCATGCACGGCTGGGAGAGTTCTTGCTTTTGTGGAGTCCGACCCCTCCCGGCCTCACCTAGTCCGTGGCCCTCACCCTGCCTTTTGACATCTTCTAGACAAAGCCGGGTCCTGCCATGTCCGGTGCCTAGATTACCTCGGTTTCCCCCCGCGCTCCGGGGCTCCTGTCCCACAGCCTCCCTGCCTCCGTGTGCACGAAGTCTTTTCTCTCCGCCAGGACTACGTGTACCACGTGGTGAGCGCCGTCTGTGAGTGGACCGTGGCCTTCGGCTTCATCTTCTACTTCCTGACCTTCATCCGCGACTTCCAGGTGGGCGCCCGGCCGAGGGTGGGGAGGGGCACCGGGACGGTCACTGCGGCAGGAACAGAGCGCCTGCCTTCGCCCGCGCGGCTCAGAAGGCCCTCTCCTGTGTCCGCCGCCTTTGATGCCGAAAGCCACGGGTCGAAAAATGTCCCCAAGGCCCTTAGCGACCTGTGTAGCTCAGGCTGGCCCCAGACTTGCTGAGATCCTCCCGCCTCGGCCTCCTGAGCGCTAGGATGACAGATGTTGGCTCCACACTCAGCAATGAGCGGGGTTTTTGAAGATCGTTTTACTACTAGACGTTTATTAGTGGCGCTGGCTTTGTGGGACTGGTACCTGTACGAGACGCACCTCAATAGTTTTCCGTCCCTTTTCTTCTCCGACAGAACGTGACCCTGAGGATATCCACGGAGCTCAATGGCGACCTCTGAGATGGCGCGGTGCTGGCGCCCGACGCGTCCTGCTGCTGGGGGCTGTGCCTGGCCGCACCGGGTTTCGTGAGGAATTGTCCTCGTCGTGTGTCCCAGGGTTCATTTTCCTAGAGAATGTAGAACGTTTGTGACACTGTAGCGATGTTTTGATATTTTCCAAGCAGACACTTTTGTATTAACAAATTCATATACAACGATAGGGGGTTAGAAAGTGAGAGCTTCTATTTTTGTACAGATCCTGGTTTTTTGTTTCGTTTTGTTTTTTGTCTGTGTGTGAACAGTCTGTGGAAATACCACTAAATGAGAGTTGTGAGTTCAGTACGCTTTTGAAAAAGTAAAATCAGGACTGTGATTTCAAAATTTCACTTCCCGAGGATGAACTGTGTAATTGTGTAGCTCTGGCTGGCCTTGGATTGGCAGTGAGCCTCCTGCCTCAGCCTTCCGAGTGTGGAGGTATCAGGCACACACCACCACACCCAGCTGTGTCATTTTTTAAATTAAAAAAAATTTTTGTTGTTGTTGTTGTTACTGGGGATTGAATTTAGGTCCTTGCGCTTGTGAGGCAGGTGGTGGCACCACTGAGCTAAATCCCCTACCCCAATATTTTTTAAAAAATAATCACAAGACAATGTATCAAATTCAATTTTAAGGATCACAGACTCAACTTTTTAAAATGTAGTTAATTAACACTAAGATACTCTGATCTTTATCTTCACTAAGCAAACTTCCTAGGCTGAGGCCTCACCATGCCACTCACTGTGCATAGGGCCTCACGCTGGCCCAGGCTGGCCTTGAACTCGTGGCAACCCTCCTGCCTCAGCCTCCTGAGTGCTGGCATTCCAGGCAGCTCAGGGAGGCCAGCGGACGGATCCATTCCCTCTGCCTCTGGCGGGCCCAGACCGGCATCCGAGCACGTGAGGGCATCCAGAGGCCACGGGCAGGAGCAGCCACAGCTCGGAACTTTTCCTTGGACCTCGTGGGTGAAAGACTAAAATAAAATGAAAGCGTTCTTTCTTTTTAATACCTTGTGTCTCTGTTCAGCAGCGAGGTGCGGGCGCCTGGTACAGCTGGGAAGCACAGCGTCGTCGCCCGGGAGGGGCACCGACCTCACATGCAGGCCAGGGTTTAATATCACCAGAGGCTCTTACCTGCAATCCCAGCCCTCAGCAGGCTGAGGCAGGAGGGTCGCTAATGAGTTCAAGGCCAGCCTGAGATACATAGCAAGAGCC